GTCTACGTATGATTAAGATATTTTTATGATTTTTTTTATTGCTGTAGGCATTCTTCCTCAAATTAAGATGTTTTCTCCATTTCTAGATCATAATTTTCTTTGGAAAACAAGAAAGTTCTCACCAAACCACCCCCACATCTTATTCTAGATATATAATGTACCTCCTTAAAAATCACTCACCATCGAACTCCGGGAAATAGTCAACGAGGTGGGAATACAGGATCTTGTCTTCCAACAAATCTTTCTTGTTGAGAAAGAGGATAACAGAAGAGTTTTGGAACCATGGATAAGTTATAATGGTTCGAAAGAGAGCTTTACTCTCTTCCATCCGGTTCTGAAATAAGAAAAAGAAAGCCTTATTTTCACAAATGAGCACTAAGATGCCTTTCTGCTGCCTGCACACATACTCAGATCCATAGTGATTCAGCATCTCAAACACTACATACAGAATGCTTTGGCCCTAGGTAGGTTCTGGCTCAAACTGCATCAATAAATGGAAAGGAAATGCAAAATCTGATGGACTCCAGCTTCGGAGTCCATGGACTCAAGCCATTCATATCAAAACACTTAAAAGCCATTTTATGCTTTGACAATCATATGAGAGGACTGGCCAGCGATACTTTTAGAACATGGTTTGTCTAGTAGAAAAGGGGTAATTGCTGTTATCTAGTAGCATTTTTTTTATCTATTAGCAAGTGCCAAAATTCAGATTTGCACCTTCAAAGAGCCCAGTCACTACCTAACAAGACAGTAGTCACAACCCAAAGTACCCCAGTGTGGTAAGAGGGACATGATCTGAGAACATGCCTCCCCCCACAGTGCCTTCCACAGCACACAGGGCTCCGTCACTTCAGAGTATTTTGGTTTTACTGGGGAAGTGGAGATGATGGGAATGCCCTCTGCATTTTCCATTCTCAGGGACATCATGTCCCGTTGAGGCTAATGTTCCCTTTGCAACAAGAAGAACTGAAGGCCAAAACCAACAATACTTGCTAATCCAACTTGGCACCAAGCACTTGGGTACCAAGCTCCAAGGAGCTAGGAAGACATTCCGGCTTTCCTTCTACCCTCCTGCAGAGTTCCCATTCTTTGACTTACCTCATTATCCGATTCCACCAGAACTTGGTCATATTCACTAAGTGCTACTAAAAACATGATGGAAGTCACATTTTCAAAGCAATGGATCCACTTCCTTCGTTCTGATCTTTGACCTCCAACATCCACCATTCTAAGGAAGAGAAGTACATACAGTATCACAGAGGTACTGCAGTTCTGTCTGAATGCAAAGGACCAGCAAATGATGAGAATGAATGCAGTTCTTTACCACTCCAGTTAACATGTCACAGGGATGCGATAGTATCTGCCTGCTAACAAAACCAGCAAGTTTACAAAATATTCTGTTCCAGAAATATAGCAAACTGAAAGAATGGCGAGTGATACCAAATTCAACCTCCTGATACCAGCATTACCATTTCTGTTGCATTCTGCTCTGGTTTGCTAACCATCAGTCCTGAGTCTGAAAAGATGAGTCCTTAAACTGTCCTCTGTCAAATGAACAAACTACTTTTGTTTTTTACTAAAAAACCTCCTTGCCTCAAAGCTTCTCAGTGTTGTGCTCTTCACACCAGGCTTGATTGCTGGCTTAAGCCTCTCAAGGCCATCTGTTGCTGCACCAGCACAAACAGCAAGTTTTGGTGTCATCCTGAGAGCACAAGGTAGGCACAGAAAACCATCTCCCAAGGCAGATGCTAGGTGTGACATACAAGAGAGTATTTCTTCCTAGTGGAAGAAATACTGGTGGGTGGCTTCAGCTACCAACACTTCACTCAACTGCCTCACAAGCCACAACTTCAGCCTCATATGCCAGCAATGCAGTCCTTCCCAAGGAAGGCACCAATTCCTGCAAGATGGTTCACCGGGTTTTAAGCATCACCGATTCAAAAGCAGGTTCTGTTTTCTGGCAATCAAAACATTGGACTATCTCCACTAGAGGAATACCTATCAGCAGATAATTCCACAACACACACATCCACTCAGAGCCTCTCAATCAAGCACCTGGACACTCTAAAGCAATCCATAACTTATCCTTCCTGAAACCATATCACCACTCTCTCAGTTCAGCTGTAACATGAATACACCTTCAGTACCTGAAGATAATATTCTCTAGGTCAAAGGGGTACTCTATGATACCAGTTGTAGGAACTCTAACCCGTAGCACATCTTGCTGAGTTGGTAGATATCCTGGGGTAGCAATACGATCCACGTCACTGAGATAGCTACAAGGAGGACAGCGGAAAAAAAAAATACCTTAGGTTGCAGCACATAAACACACAGATGTAAAAACTGCTACATTTAGTCATTCCCTAGTGTAACAAGAAAGTTAGAAGTCACCTGAATCATTTAAAATATGATGTGGAAAAGTAACAGAATACATTTTTGGGGAACAGTAATTCACCAGCCAGCCCCCTTGGAGGATAAACAGATATACTAAGGACAACTTTATCAACTCTGTATAGCAGTGTGGAAGACAATCTTTACACAGAGAACGTTTAAGTACAGTGGATGCTTTATATTTCAGAATCAAGTCTCATCTGTAGTGTAAAAACATACACTTATTTACTTATAAAACATCTTCTCTATGTTGCCAAACTTAATGGATTTTTTATTAATAAAGTCTAAGTTACACATCCACGTACACCTGTAGGCCAAAGGACAAACCTGAGGAGAAAGAGCAACACTCCTGCTGCCTAAGAGCCAGGATCAACATAGACGGCAGAAGGTAGGGATTCTGGCCTCAGGTATATCCAGAAGCAGATGTGTGAACAACTGCCTTTAACACCCATCAGAACACCTCATAGCCTCATGAAAAGCAGCAAACAAAGGAAACAAAGGAAACAAATTCTAGGCTTCAATAAAAAAAATTGGACAGGTATAATTTGTTAGACCATCACTCCCACCTACCAGTGCATGCTCGCGATTATATACTTACTATTTAGCTGAGTCAGAAAGCTGATATTCTCTTCTCCTGTCATAACACTCTTGTATTCCAGGGTCATTCCACAATGTTTTAATTGCACTTACATATGGCTGCTCAAATGTCATGACCTTTTCTACATCCACTTCTCGGATCAGCACTGCATTGGCCTGGAGATTGAAAAGAGAAAGAAAAAAAAGAAAAAGTAAAAAAACCAAAAGTAAAAAAAAAAAAAAACAACAAACAAACAAAACCAAAGCAAGCAAGCAAACAAACAAACAAACAAACAAAAAACTAAAAAACCACCACGAACCTGGGAGGTGTGGGATCTGTGTCAGAAGGAGGGGGCACCGGTCATGGCAGGAAATAAAAATTCCCACCCTACAATTGCTAAACAAAGGAAGGGCTACAGTCATTACCACAGCCTGTGGCATCCATGAGGTGACTGTCCACATCCAGCTGCTTTCTGAAAGGGCTTTTGCCAATACCACCAACCCCAGGAAAAATAAAAACCAAAGCCAAGTTATCTGGTTTTATCTTTTGGTAACTGCGCAAGTTATCATAAGTAAAAGTTGGCAGATTCTACTTATCAGAACCCCTTCACCATGCCCCACATAAAGCACAGGCAAGGCAAGCTTCTTCACACCCTGCCCATTCTCATCACAGACATAAAAGGTGCACCATCCAGTCCCTCTAAACAGTTAGTCAAAATCAGCTCCAAGATACTGTGTGTCAGAAGAGATAAAATACAATTTAACTTCAAAATATTAAGGATACTATGCATTAAAAGAAGCAAACTATGCTAAAAAAACCCTATTTTCCTGGCATACCCTCACTCTCATTGTCCTCCCCCTCAAAAAGCTAAAATAATTTAGATCAGATCTGGTTGAAAAATTAATTCCTGGTCCCAAAATGAGTAAGCCAGACTTTAGCTCAGATAATGTTTCTGTGGTTGAGACCAAAATCCTTCAAGAAAGTTTTGTACCCTTGGTCAGCAGCTATCAGAATCAGGATGGATTGCAGGAACAGGGATAACTATCAGCACAGGTGTCTTTTGGGTCCAGCACGTATTTTGCCAGCTTCAATTTCCAGTAAGTATAGTAACTCACGCAAAGAAAATGCCAGACACGTTCAACAACACTGAATCCCGGAAATTAGTAAAAATACCACCCCTCTTATACCCTACATCGTATGCCAATCCTTTGCTTCCACCACTCACTACGCAGACTAGTGCACCAACCACCCAAAGTTGCTCTATCCCTTAACACAGCCAAGTAAATGGAGTCAGGTATCAAGAAAATGTCACAAAATGTTTATGGAAAAGAGGTCAGGGAGATTGAGGATGCAATGCAGAAGGACACAAACAAACAGGAACTTAGAAGTCAAACCCTACAATCCTCACTGCCTAAAGACGTGCAAAACCTGTGAGACACTTACCTTGTTCTGTTCATATTTGTACAGAATCTTCAGGGTTTCCATGGCTCTTATCATAGACTGCATGGCAGTGAAGATGTTTTGGTACACCAGCTTGGTGAAGCCTTTTTTGTCCTCTTCAGAGTAGCCTGAGCCATGAATTATACGCATTTGCTTAATGAATGTGCTTTTCCCACTCTCCCCAGTGCCTGCAGAATGCAAGAGAGTGCATTAGGAGCCATTCACAAGCAGGGATCCCAACAGAAGAACGCAGGCACTTCATACCCCAAAGTTCCTATTACTGTAACCAAGCACACACTACTCCCAGCCACTTTTTCTAGTTGCTTTCCAGAATGGTAAAAAGACAGTCTGGGTAGGCCTGCTCATCCCCACTAGGAACCTGACAGCATGAAAGCTTGTCCTTTACAGAAGCCCTCAAAAGCAGCCCTGGTACTTATTCCAAATCTCATGTTACAGCCACTCCCACACGTTCTGCGTCAAGAGGCCCTCGTCAAGAGGCCCTCGTCCGTCACACCTGACCTATTCCCAGATACTCCAGCAAGATGCTACAACCACGGCACCAGCCAGGAAGAGCCTGGGCATGCTCTTCAGCTAGTAAAGCACTACAGACCGAGATGACAGTGAGTGCCAAGGGAAGCCCATTTGCACAGCAAAAGAGTGAACTTCCTTTCACTGTAACTTGGCACAGAATGCTCTTTACCTGATAGACTACATGTCTTTTCATAGGAAAGAACTGAATACAACAGAAAAAACCCCAACTCTAAAGGAGAATGGAGCTCAAGAAACTACTTGCTTATCCATCTGACACAAACAACTTAATCAGCGCGTCTGCCTCGTATCCTAAACTACTGTGCAAACGTAAGGTTTGTTCTCAAGGACGGAAACAACAATCCCGATTGTGACCCAATGCATCCGATCCAGCTCACAGCCTTTGAGGAGGAGAGAGTTAAAGATGGTGGCTGACAGGAGAGCAGAGTAGGCCACTGCTCAGAGCTGCCGGTGCTATGCCAGGGTCCCCAGAGATCCCCTCGGCTGCAGCCTGCTCAGCAAGGCCACCGCTTCCTCCTGACACAGGTTCACTGTCGGGCCTCGGAGCAGATGGGAGGGCAGGACACAGCATGTGCATTACACAGTCTAGCCCTTCCAGCGCTGGCTTCCTGCACTGTCACTTGGGCAGGTCCTTCCACTCCTACATTTATGGCCCCGGAAAAGTGTCATTTAACATGTGAAGTCCAACAGGTGATATAAAAGGACAGTGGGAACTTTTCTAGCACAGTAAGTTCACCATCAGACAGCACCCGCACAGTTACACAGCCCTGTTACGTTCACAATTCAACTGGTATTGTGGGAAGTTCCCTGCAACATCCGCCCTGTGCACACACAGTCCTTTGTGGAGGGGACACATGGGCCAAGGACTCCCTTACCTCCACACTTCACCCCATGAGCAACAGCCTAAGGGGATACCACTGACATTTCTGTTGAATGCTTTTGTTCAACCTTCTAAAAGTTGCTATCAATATGCAGGATACATAGAAAAAACAGCGCTCTAACACAGTATCCCGGCTCACTTGGCTACTGAGACCAAAAACTCAACTGTATCCCATCAGTGACAAATCCTTTTGATCTGCAGTTAAAAATAAGGATGCTTGCAGAGCCCTGGTTCTCACCACAGGCACCACCAGGTACTTCTCACACCAGGGGAGAGATGGATTCAGACTGGATCTCATTCATCCCTGTACACAGCTACTACTCACATGTAGACTCTCAGTTACATGTTTATCCTGGTGGGCTAAAAGGCAAACAAACAAATAAATATGCTCAGGTAAAAGCAGCAAGCACCTAACTAGAAGCAGAATGTTTGAAATAAACAGCAAGAACTGGCAGAAATCATGTCAGCATAGTCAGAAATTAACATTGGAAATACTATTAATATGCAGCAAACTATCTCCATCTCAAACAGAAAGGTATACCCTAAGTGGGGGAAAGTTTGGAAAATGAAATCTTTTCTGTTTTCTCTCACTGTGGTGAGAAATACTTCCTTGTCTTTTACCACAGTGACCAAAACTGAAAGGGGAAAAAAAAACAAAAACAACAAAACGGTGGTGCTTCAAAGCATTTCAACAATGAAACCATAAGAGAAACCTCAGCACCAGACCTTTGCTTGCTTCAGAACTTAGAGAGTTCAAACACAGATTCTTCCTGTCACTCCATCATCCTCCCTTTCTTGGTTCTGGGGTTGTTTTTGTTGGGGGGGGGGAGGCGGGTTGGTTGTTATTGTTTGTTTTGATTTTTTTAAAAAGGTGCCTCTTGCTTTCCCCAAGGCCACTGACAATGCAGCACAGCACTACACCAGTAGGTTACAAGCTCTAGCGGGCAAGATCTACAGCTGTAAGGGCACAAACCCCCTTTTAATATGACAATGTTGGGAAAGGAGATAATCTGAATTCACTGTTTCTTCTATCAACACGTGAAAGTAGCAGAGTTTACAATAACTTACTAATGACCCCCAAGTACCTCACAGGCACTTGTAAATACATTACTCAGTCAACAGTATCCCACCCTTAATCACAAGCAATTTTTGTACAAAATATTCTCCTCACCCAGTAAAATCACAAATGACTACCTTCTACCAGAGGGCAATGTCCAACACCTTGAATTTCTTATTACCAGGTTCATCACTGATTAGCACTGTTATTCATGCCAATTTTCTGTTTTAGGCTTTAGCAAAGTAACTAGCATTAGATGAAGCGAGAAGAAAAATTTAACATGGTTTCTTACAAGGTGAAAACTCCTTCCATACACTCAAAAGTTTGGAGATTTGGGAAAGCCCTCTTACTAATTCAATCATTAATACTTGTGAATGTTAGAACTCCACATGACAGGAGCAACACAGAAGTATAACAGCAGTTATACCAAGGAGAGAGAACACGTTACCTGCCTCAGCTGAAAGTGGGCAATGTGCTGTATGCAGTGAAAAGCATCCAGCAAACATGGTCTACCACTAGGAATGTTGCTTATCCAATAATAACCACCTCATGTAATTTATTTTTTTATTTGATGCTGAATCTTACTTAGCTGTATCTTTTAGAAAAGCAGAAAGGATTCTCGAGCAATCTGAATTATTTCTAAAGTGAAATCTTTAGATCCAGTGGGATCTTCTTAACCCAGATCTATTCTATAGTGCCAGCCTATTTTGAAGCAGCTGCTTCTGTGGAACTGTTTTAGGGAAGCATGAGAGAGACACCCTCCCTCATCTACAAGCCTTACAGAAACTGTCACAGCATCTCCGAAGAGCAGAAACGCCAAGCCCTCGATTTTACTTTTCACCTGAAGAACAGGAACACATCAATTATGACAGATTTGCAGTGAGAAGGACAACCGCGGCCTTCACTGAACAGTTATCACCAGGCACCACTGGAGCCCTTCAAAGGGCTGGGCATACACAGCCCCCCCTCACTTCTGCAAAGTGCTACCTTTGTTTTCACAAGGGTCAGCTTCATTTGTACCTTAATGGCTTGTCAACAGACCCCAAGTGAATAAACTCAATCCATCAGATCTGCTTCAGATTTCAGCTTAAGATGACACAGTATTTAAGCCACAAAGCAGGATACATTTAAGACACAAGCAATGATAAGTCACAGTACCCATGAAAACTGTAACTTAAGTTTAAATCTGGGGGCTACCTAGACATGAACATCAAACTCACTGCTGAAGAAGATGTATGTGCCTGCAATCTTCACTGGCTGCTCTGGCAACTGATTACCCATCCCTATACACTCACCTAAACACAGCAGTTTTCCATCTGCACAGAGAACACTACTACGTTTCCATATGAAGACCTAGATTCTTATGGCTGCACAGCTGATCCCTTCCTCTGAGGGCAATGCTAAACTCTACATTTCCTCATCAAATACACAACTCCTGCATTCTTACTGTCTCCTTCCACTTCAGAACCACTACACCACGCTGCCAGCCCTGCCGGCTCTCCCAGGGCTGTACAAGTGGAACTCTGTGGCTTAGGGGCCGGAGGCCAATTTTTCACTCAAGGCCCAGGAGTTCACCGACAATACTGGAAACCATCAACTCCATCAGCAAATTTTCACATGCTAACGAAGGCCAGCACGCCCCGAGAACCGTTTCCTCGAGACAAATTTCACGCGCGTGTGTGCGTGCCCGCCTTCGGAACCAGGAATTTCAGCTACTTAGTTCCTGCTTATGTCAAAATCCATTTTGACAGCGAACGCATCACAAAATCAAACAAAGGGCAGCCAATGAGGCGGCCGCCCCGCACGGCTCGGGAGCGGCCCCGAGCGCCGGGCTGAGGCGGTGATGGCTCCCGCCGCTTACCCGCCACACCCGCTCCCCGCCTGGCCCGGCCACCCGGACCCGCCGAGTCCCGGGCCAGGCCCTGCGGCGGCCCCGCGCTCCTCACCCAGCAGCAGCAGCTTCAGCTCGCGGCGGGCGTCGCGCTTGTCCCTCCGCAGCTGCTTCTCGATCTCGGCGTTGATGCGCTTCGACTCCTTCACCTCGTCGCTCAGGCAACAGGCCATCATGGACTCCAGAGTCATGGTCGCGCCGCGGCCGGGACGCCCCCGCCCACCCCCCACCCCCCCGGCACCGACCACCGTCCTCCGCAAGGCCGGGAGCCCGGCCCGGCCCGGCCCGGCCCCGCGCCCCTTTCCCTCCCCACCCTCCCTCCCTGCGCGGCGCCGGCCCGGCCCGGGCTCGTCCCGGCCCCGAGTGCTGCGGCCAGGCCCAGCGCCACTGCCACTGCCGCCGCTGCCGCCGCCGCCGCCGCCGCCGCCGCCGCTGCCGCTGCCGGCACCGCCGCCACCGCCCCCGCGCCCGCGCCGCTCCCGCCCGGCTGCGCCGCCGCTCCCTCCGCACGGCCCCACCGAGACACCGCCGAGCCGGCGCAACCCAACCCGCTGCCGCTGAAAACAAGCGCTGACTGACAGCAGTCGGCGCCAATGGGCGAGCGCGGCGAGCGGCGGGGCGGGCCCCGGCTGGCGGGACGTGGCGCCGCGGCCAATGGGAGCGCAGGTTTGGTTGGCCAAGCGCGGTGAGGGGAGGGCGCTTGGACGAGAGTTCCCAGAGCGGGGCGGGGCCGCTGGGCATTGTGGGAAGGTGGCGGACCGGGGGCTTTATGGTGGGGCGAGCAGGACTGGGTGCCTCCCGTGACCGCAGAGCCGCTGCCACCCCCCTGCCCTCCACGGGCCCATGGCCGGACCCCACTGGGCCTGTAGGGCCTTGGCGGCCTGTGATGCGACGGCGCAGGGCGGGCCCGGGCCCTGGACGATGCGGCTCCTCCCGCACCGCGCGGGGCACCCGTGGGTACCCGAGGCCAGGCAGGCCCGACCCTGAGTAGGAAGGACCTGTCTCAGCCATAGGCCCGCGGATCTGGCCAGCCTGGCCGCCTACAGCTGCGGCAGCCCTCGGTGCAAAGGAGGAGAAAGCCGAGGCCCTGCAGTGCCAGCCCAGCGCTCCCAAGCTGTGGCTGCTGCTGTCCCCTGACCACGAACCACTAGAGCCTGATGAGGACAGAGCCTGTCAGGGTGAGCTCTGTGGGTGCCACCTCAGAGGCCTTCCTCACTCTGCGTCTCTCCACACGGGGGGTCTCAGCGCTGGCTTTAACCTAGGTTTCCTCATTACTTCCCAGTAGGTCCCTGTTGACCTGTACCAGGTGCTCCAGCTGGCAGCCTGATACATCCCCTCCATGCCACATCCTTACGTTCATCCTTCTGCTGCCAGTGCATCTTTATCTGTCAGAGCAGCTCTCTGGGAACCTGCTTCCAGCAGAATACCTGCCATCTGGATTCCCCATACACACACCCCTCTTGCAAGCACCTGTGGCTGCACACCCATTGCCCTCCTTGCATGGCTGCCCAGGTCCCCCTGGCTCCATTTAAACCTGGTGCCAGTGTGCCCCAGCCAGCCATGTGCTCTCCACATAACCCTCCATACAGAAAGAAAGAACACTTGAAAATCAGAAGATTCTTGGCCAAATCATGCAGCAGCAGATGCTGCCAAAATCTACATGCTGCAGCTCCCATCTTCCTTTCAGACAGATGCCAGGGCTCCAGCTGTTGCAAACTGTACTGGGATGGCTGGGTACCCTGATGCAGCAGGGTCTCCTCCATCCCAGTCCAATGGATCTGTAAGTGCTGTAGTACATGCCTTTTGTTTCACATCTTTCCTCCCACAAGGAGGGGAGTAGGCAAAGCAAGACCTCTGCATATTCCATGCAGCAAGATAAACAGATACACCCTTAACTTTCCAAAGGAGAAGTCTCTTCCCACCTTTCTCTCCCCCTGCTTGTCATGCTTTCTCTTACTCCATCTGGTGTTGTTTCTTTGTCTGACTTTAAACTAACTGAACCACTCAGTTTTCCAAGTCTTTTTGTCTTCTCTTTGCAGGTGCTTCTGCTGGTATTTTGGAGTTCTTACAGACACCCAACACCCCACCCATTCTGTCTGTATTCTTGTTCCCACACCTCCTGGGCTGGGCTCACTCACCTTCCCACATCTACTCTGCCTATGGGTCTGTATCTAACCAGTCTTTTTGAAGGTCCAAAAAAGCATGATAGAGCTGTTATGTACCTGTCTTCATTGTTACCTGCCTGGCTTATTCTGTGGTTTGCCAGTCCCTACCTTGTGAGACAGAAACACAAGATACGCACAAACAACAGGTTCTGTTTTCCACTTAAATTCCACCTGCTCCTCTTATGTCTGTATTATTCTCATGAGCTGTTTGCCTCAATTAAAAGGAGATTCTAACCTTTTTTTATAAGTGGTTTGTCCATAGTTTGGCTTTTCACAGCATCAATACCTCCTATTCTTACGTTCTCTTACTTTCTCTTCCAGGTGCCCCGCAGCCAAGAGGACTGTTACTCTCTCATCACTGATCTCTATAACCCCTGCAACACTGCTCAGACAGGCAAGTCACTTTGACCTCTTTGCGTGTTCTCAGGCTGTGAGTACAACATAGTGTGTCTGGGGTGTGCTGAAGAGTTATCTAGTTGGGATTGCTGGGCTGCTTTGAACCAGGAGGCGCTATATGCTAGAAGCTATTGTTTTGGTTGTAGAAGGGAGCAGGCATTGCCAGCAGGTCAGGGATGTGATTCTGCTCCGCTCCTCAGCCTTGGTGAGGCATCACCTGCAGCACTGGGTCCAGTTTTGGGCTCCTCAGGACAAAACAGACACAGAGCTCCTGGAGTGGGTCCAGCAGAGGCTACAAAGATGGTGAGGGGAGTGGAGCATCTCTGTTATAAGGACAGGCTGAGGGAGCCGGGCCTGTTCAGCCTGGAGAACACCAAGAGGGGATCATATCAAAGTCCATAAGTATCTGAAGGGAGAGTGTCAAGAGGGTGAACCAGGCTCTGCTCAGTGGTACTGAGCAATAGGACGATGGGCAGAAACTGATGCACAGGAAGTTCCACCAGAACACGAGGAAGAACTTTTTACTGTGTGGGTGACCAAGCACTGGAATGGGTTACAGAGTCTCCTTCTCTGGAGATATTCAAAGGAGGAATGTGTCTGGACACAATCCTGAGTAACATGCTCAGGGCACCCAGCCTGAGCAGGGAGGTTGAACCAGATGAGCTCCACAGGTCCCTTCCAACCTGGTCTGTTCTGTGATTCTGTGTGCAGGGTGTGGCAGCTGCCCCATCCCAAGGAGCGGGATGGGAGTTGGGGGATCACACGCAGGCCCTAGTAGCTCACTCTCAGGAGTCTGGAGGAAAGACCAAGGCTCAGATCACACAGCAACGTCAAAACAAAGCGGGGAGCATCACCAGGGAGCGGAGGGGAGGAGGAGGAAGCATCTCTGCCAGCGATGAGAACGAGAGAGCACAGGCAGCGCGGGTGCTGCTGCCACCAAGCCTTTGCCCAGCGGACATTCCAGCCTCCCGGCTGAACCGTGTGGGGTCAGACTCGCGGCGAAACCGGGCCCCCCGAACAGCCCTTGGGGCCCCGTGGAGGCCGTTCCTGCTCCCAGCCGAGGTGCGGGGCGGAGGCGCGGCCGGACCCGGGCCGCGCTCGGCAGAGCAGCGGCAGCACGGGCACTGGATCCCCTGCACGCGGGGTCAGGCATCACCCACTGCTCTCTGGTTGCCGATGGGGACCGGGGACTGAGCTGCAGAGCAGGTGTCAAATGTTTCAGCCTCCCCCAAAATTAGTTTTACAAGCTCTTCAATTGTCTGTCACAGGAAGATGCCACAAAGAGATCTGAGTTCTCTGAAAAGTAGGGGAAAGGTACTGAGATCAAACATGCTGACAAATACAGCCTGTGACAGCAATTGCTGGATTAGTTTTTTTAAACCTTGTGTTTCACATCTGGTTTGTCATGGTGTTGTAGGTGGGCTCAGTGCGCAGTAAACTAGGATAACAAACCTACATTTTCCATGATCCTTTCATCCCCTAGGATCCCAAAGCACATCATTTAATTGCACTCAACCTGCACACAGATTTCATAAATAAAGAAATGATGAATTAGCATAGCTGCTGCAGCATTCACATGAGTTACTAAGACACAATCTCCTTCTGCAATCAATCCAGCCTCATGCTTCAGTGTTTGTCATAAATTGAGGTCAGGAAGAAATGTTCTCCCTACCTGGAGGAGCGCTGCTGAACTAGCCAAGTACAGAAAGACTCTCAAGGGTGTAGTAATCTGTCTTCCCTGTGCAAGTCTCAGAAATTGTTGCAAATATTCATTTGATGAAGCTCCCATGCAGTAGATGGACACTGATCCTGTACAGGAGCAGGAGGAATGTGGTGCAGGGTGGCCAGAGAGATTACCTGCCTCGCACAAGGCAGGAGGAAAGCCTGGATGATCCCTTTGACCTTAAAATTGCTATCTCACTCCTCCCTTTGTCCACCAAGGGAACGAGATGAGAGAGGTGAGAATCCTTGCCATGCCCACGGCACAAGTGGGCCTGGTCAAGAAGCCACTCCTTTGCCCATTCCAGCCCCTGTGGATCACTCCCACCATCAGACTCAGTCTGGACCTCATATGCAGAGGGATTTACATGCTGCTTCTGGAAAATACTTGTCCAAGGAACCTCCTCACGGCCAAAGTGCCAGTGGATTCCCCTGGACCTCCCGACCATGTTATAGCTCCAAATTTCCTGCTTGTCTCCCACCAAATGCCTCAGGGACACCACCCAGAGCTAAGTCCTTCTCTGAAGCTTGATACTGACCCAGCCCTGTCCAGGGAACATGCAGATTCAGGCATCCTTGCTATGTGCTTCCTAATCACAGCTCAGCTGCAAAATCCCTTTTCTACTTCCTGCAAGGAGTGTGAACTGTTCCTTGCACTTTGGCTGGTAAAAAGGATAATTACCCCTAATCAGTCTGCAGCAAAAACATAGGCCACAGCAGAAGGGAGGGGTGGGGGTCAGCCACCATGAGAAATGGAACCCAATTATTTCAAGTCACTGATAAAGTGGGATCACAAAAGGTAGAAACGTTTTACCAGCTGTAAAAAGCCTGCCCAGACCAAGGCTTTTCTTGGAGAAAGGCCCTTTCTGCCTATGAGTGATTCCTGGCTGTGCACATCCAGGGGCCGTTTCCCATTTTTCTTCTTGGTGAGGGTGGGGAATTTGGGCCAGTGCTGGGCAGTGACGGGGGGCGAGGGGCAGCTCTGTTGAATGGCACTGTGCACTGCCAGTGCCACGTTCGTGGGGCGGGCAGTGCTGGCTGCCATAGGTCCTCCTCACCTCCCTGCGAGCCTGTGCTGCCCGTGCAGCCCCAGTGCTCATCGCAGCTCTTTGCTGCTGCGGGGAGACCTGTGTGGCTCATAATGGCAGCAGGAGAGTTGGGAGGTGGTGAGGGAGAGGAGGAAACAGCCCCTTATGTGAAAAATACTGCAGAGGCAGATCGCTTGTAAATGACTCTCAGACCTGCCCAGCCCTTGCCTCGTGTCTGACTGATTGTATTATGCTCTCTGGAGAAAGTTTAATATAAAAAGCCAATAATCCCCATGATAAGAGGGGTGATAAGGGACAGTGTGGCCTCAGATCCCACTAGTGCTGACCTGGATGTGGCAGGGGGCCTTCCTCCTCACCCCCACCAGCCCTGGCCTCCCCAGCCCAGCCAGGCAGCATGGACCTGGCAGGGTTGCCGGTGGGCAGGAACTGCAGGCCAGAGCCAAACTGCAGGGCTGGGCAAAGCAGAAGCCAGCCCCACTGCTGGCAAAGAGGGGCTGGGGAAGCAGGGAGGGAGGAAGGGAGAAGTCTGTGAGCCCCAGTAGCGTGGCATGGAGCCAGCTGTGGCTAATAGCCCACAAGCTGCCAACCACTGTGCCTTATAAAATACCTCAGATGTCTGAATATGGGGTGGCAGTGGGGGATGACAAGCTGCAAACCCAGGCTTTGCATCCTGGAGAGGGACTGGGATTTGTAAGCAGGTGGCTAACAAATGTGGTATTGATGGCAGCTGAAGTTTAATGAGTTTGGTGAGTCTCAGCCCTGTTTCTACTGGAAAGAGTCCACAGCATTCAAACCACAACTGAGAAGCAAAGGAGGAATTGCTGGCTGAACCACCCCACCTCCAGTGGGGTCCTTGTCTGTGCCACCCTGAGGTGTGCAGCGCCTCAGAAAGCCTAAGCTCCTCAACTTGATTATGCAAAGCACCTGTGTATGTGGTCAGCTTTAGGTGATGGGACTCAAGCGAGGTCCTGAGGCTGTGGAGAAAGGAAAAAATCTTCCTTGTCTCAGGGCCTGAATTGCTGCTATGACTTTTTCATTTCTTCCTCTTTAATTCCAGGTAAAAGAGACAGTATTCTCAGGCAAAAAGCAGGATCTCAGAGCCTACATTTTCATTGTAATGACAGCGCGGATTTCACCTCGTGTCCAGAGCTTCAGAGAAGAAAATGTCTGTACAACTTCTCTCCTTGAATCAGTTCTGGAGTGGAATATAATATCTGAATAATTTACAAAGGCTCTTCATTATACAGATTTATTTTTGGCAGCTTTGTTAGACTGCTCCTTTTAGGAACTAATAGGAAGTTTTTCTGGTTCCATTAGGACATCCCTGTACAAATCCTTCCATCTGGGACCAGGGACTGGGACAGCTTATTGCTCCATTAGCAATGCAAAATATAAACTCCTGGTCCTTGGGTAACCAGGCTCCAGTCCAGTGGCCAGATGAGTAAGGATGTCCCTAAACCTGCCATCTCACAGGAAGTGGGAGCAATGGCAAGATCTTCCCTCTGTGGACAGGAGACCAGTATGGAGGCACAGGAGAGGTCTGGTCCTGCACCAGCTCCAAGCAGGAAGTTGCTCCTGCTTTCCAGCCAGACTGTATTGACCCCCACTGACACACATAGGCTACTGCCTGGGCAAGGCTAGAATTCCCCCTTCTTCAGATGCAGATGCATTCCTGGCTGGAAATAGGCCCATTAAAAAGTCATTTACCAGGCACAAGTGAGTTTGTGTTCCCCTGGATTGGGATTTGCCAAGATTATACCATAAATCAGTGTGTTTCCTGGAAGAATGTAAGGAGGGGAAAAAAAAAAAAAAAGATAAAATGGAACATTTTGTAGCCAACAGAAAAGCCAATAAAGGAACATTTCATTTCCTGCTTGGAATGGAGCAACTGCAAACTGCTGCAAGGGGAGGGATGGCAGTGCAGGGCAGTGTGAGCAGGGCACCCGTGCCTGCTCCAGGATGGGGGAAGAGGACAACAATGACCTGGTCTGGTCTCCTGCACACACTGACTACAAACTGCATCTCTCTGCCGTTGAACAGAGCCTGAGCTGGGGTGGCTCAGTTTCTCTACATGTAAAATGGGGGACCAGGAGGCCGGCCCGCTGGGGGAAGACTGTCTGCCCTGTTTTCCAACCTTTATTCTGTCGGGACACAAAGCCTGCCTGCACTATTAATAATCCTTGGCATGAAGCTGTCACAGTTTCCACTAATATGGAGATGCTGAAGTGAAAAAGCTACTGCACAACATGCAGGAGGTGTCACAATAACTCAGCTGCTATATTGTTCTCTTTAAAAATAAATACCACAACAGGCCAGCCCACATTGCTGGAGTCATGACGTGTGGGGTTTTATTTTTAATCAGAAAATTTACTGATTTTTAAAGATAGACACAGAGCAGCATCTGAATGTGATGAAAGTTGCCTGTGCGCTCTCACACACCAGCTATGTTCCTGCCTGTTATTCTCCGGATGGTTTCCAAGGACCTGATCCCGCCTCAGCACAGGCACATTTGTGTGTGTGGCTTTTCAAGTGGCCCCATGGCAACCAAGTCCTTTCAGAAATAAAGGTTGTGGCTGAATTCCCCATCTCACTGCTCTCTGTGGGGAGACAGTTGATCCCTCAGGACACAAATTGCAGGGTCCACTCCTCAGGCAGCAGATTTAGGACCAAACTTTGCATCCAGAGGAGAATACTCCGTTGCAGGTGAATTACCTTTCCTTTGCCTTCCTTCATGCTCAGCAAAAGCATTTCGCGCTGAAATAAAGCAAAACGAACCCCTGAGTAAAAAATACCCTGCCTGTTCTGCTCGGGGAAGGACGTCAAATGAGCTGCGAAGGGCGAGGAGCTTCATTGCCCGGCAAGGGCCCGTCTAGAGTCCTCGACCTGCTGCCGGGCCAGCCGGGCCCCGGGCCTGCCCCGCGAGCTCCGAGACCTGGCCCGGGCCAACGCCGCGGCCTCCGCCGGGCTCGGGGCTCGGGTCCTGCCTCGGCGGCGAGGAGCGGCCCGGGGAACGGGCCGAGGCACCGGGAGGGTGCAGTGGGCTGGGCAGGCCCGACCGGGGCGCGGGGAGACGTCGGCAGGGAGAAGCCCGTCCCGACCGCAGCGGGCAGGGCACGGACCGGCCCCAGGCCGGTGTCCGCGGCCGCCGACGCCGCGCGGCGGGGGCGGGGACCGGCGGGGGCGGAGGCGGCCGTGGGCCCGCCCGGCCCGGGGAGGCGGTGGCGGCGGTGGCAGGTGGTGCCGAGCAGCCGCAGGACGGAGCCGGAGCCGCAGCCGCCATTAGACAATAGGCGCCGGCGGCGGGAGCGGCGCGGGGCGAGCGGCGCGGCCGGGGCGGGGCGGCCGCGGGGCCGGGGTGGCCGGACCCGGCGCGGACAAAGGCGGCGGCGCGGGGAGCCGGGGCGGGAGCAGAAGCGGGCGGCGGCACCATCACCGGGCCGCTCCGTGCGGGGACCGAGCTGCAGCCTGACATGATGTTTCCACAAAGCCGGCACTCGGTACGACACGGCCGGGGCCGGAGCGGCCGCGGGGCGGGGCCGGGCACCGGCGGGGCCGCGGGACGGCGCGGGGGCCGCCCGGCCTCTCTTGGCGGCCCCGGCGGAGTCGAGGTGATCGAGCGCCTCCCGCCGCCGGCAGCGGGGGCCGTACCGAGGGGCGGCGGAGCCGGAGGCAGCGCCCGGAGAACGGGCCCCACGGGTGACCTTGGGCGCGTCCACGGCCCGAGCGCTGGGCCCCGCCGGGGGCTCAGCCCCCGGTGCGGCGGGAGCGGGGCGGACTCGGGGCGGGGGGGCCGGGCGGCCGCCGGCCCCAGCCCTAGCGCTGTCTCCTGTTGTTCAAGGGCTCCTCTCACCTGCCGCAGCAGCTGAAGTTCACGACCTCCGACTCCTGCGACCGCATCAAAGACGAGTTCCAGCTGCTGCAGGCCCAGTACCACAGGTACGTGCTCCCAGCGGGCCCGGGGCTGTCCCGCAGCTCTGCTGAGCTGGCCGGCGACGGCAGGAATCGCTGCGATTCTTCTGCTCGTTGCTTCACTGCGTGGACCGAATGAGAACACGGGGAGGGGACCCGGTCGCATAGCTTGGAACACCTTTGGCTGGAGGAGGACCTCGGGCAGGGGGTTAGTCATGTCCACATGGGAGCCCAGCGACGAGAACGCACATTCCCCTCTCCGGCCAAGGTCTTTCCTCCGAGCGCTGCTCAGCCAGGACTGCAGGGATGGTTGCCAGGCCTCCCGCCTCTTGCTGGGAGTTTTCCTCAGTTCTTATTGCTGGCTGCCATACTGAGACTGCAAATGCTGCAGGGAGCACTTAAATCCAAAAGCTTATGCTTTTCTCTGTGTGTATGCGTGTGCGTGTGTGTAAATATTTCTTCTGCCCCAAAAGCTGGCTTGAGACGATCTGTTACTTTGCGTGTGTGTGTCTGAAATAAACGTGATGCTCTTGTGTTAAAGTGACCGGGTGATGCCCTCTGCCACAGCCCCGTGTGTGCATTGCTGCCATGTGGTTGCAATGTCCCTCAGCCCAGGCTCTGCCTGCAGCCAAGTCACAAGTTTGTGGTGGTGTCATTCTGGCAGGAGCAGGCAGAAAAACTGCTGGGAAGTGGCCATTTCCTGGTGTCCCTGTGTCTTGGCAGTGCCATCGAGGGAGTAGGGCAGCCCAAGGAATGTGCCTGCTGAAAGACAAGGTTTCCCCTTACCCCACTCTTCCCCCTTGGACTTAATCTGCTTGAGAAGGAGCAGGTTTTGTGTAGGTGAAGCTGTTTCTTGTTTGAAACATAAAACCACAGCACATGCTGGCTGCAGTTGCTCTGTGGGTGAGTTGGAGTCTCATAAAACACTGGGAGCAGCGGCACATTCTCTGAAGAATTTAGGGGAAGAGGAAGAATCCTTCCTTCTGGAGGGATGTGCTGCACTTCGGCCTCCCCCCCACCATCCAGAAGCGGGGCTGGCTTTGGTTTTGATGTTATATTGGAGCATCCCTTGAGTGCTGCAGACAGGCCTGTGCCAGAAGCCATCCCCACCAGTGATCCAGTGAGGAATGGCAAACACCTCCCTGGGCAGCCAGCTCTGCTGCCCAGCACTCTCCTTCCTGTGGAACAAATTTGCCTGAGGGCAGTCAGTGTTCAGCTGGCGGATAGCCCCGTGTCCTTCTCCTGAGTGTGTGTTGGTGGGACTCCAGCTGGGAAGGTGGGAGCAGGCTCTGTGCAGTCACTGCTGTGCACAGCGTGGCCCAGCTTTGGCTGCCGTTTGAAGTCCAGATAGTGATGTCCAAGGAGCCAGCCTGGCCAGGATGAGGCCGTGCAGGAAGCAGCTGCTCTGTAGCAATCAACTCTCTCACCTCCTGTTTGTGGTTTTCTTACTGTGTTCTGGCTTTTCAGCTTGAAGTTGGAATGTGACAAACTAGCCAGTGAGAAATCGGAGATGCAGCGTCACTACGTCATGGTAAGGACCAGCCCTGGATGCCAAGAGCGTGTGGGTGGCGACTCCGGCTCGAGCAGGTGCCAGTGCCTGGGCTCTGCCTGGCAGGGAGCCTGTGCCCCGCAGAGCCCCGGGGCTCTCAGCAGGGCTGGCATTGGCTTTTCTGAAAATGGGGCTGTTCTTTATTTTGTGGTGGCTGCAGGAAGTGGATTGTCAAAATGTGGGGAAGTATCAGAGGATATTTTGATGTAGAAAACTGAGCCCAGTAGCTGACTGCGTGATGGGTCCTTGGCCTTGCTCCCTGCGCCCAGGGGAAGTGACAGCTCTTACAGACCTGCGAATGGGTTGCAAGGTGCTGGTGTGCAGGCATCTGGATACTCTGGGAGGATGACAGCCAATGAGAGACAAAGCAGTGCTCCAAAAAAGCTGGGAAACCCCACAATCCTGGTGGGATGTTGGAAACAGAAACCAGCTTCTGTGCAAGAGCGAAACCCTGTGCACCTTCTGGTGACCCCACAGCCTTGCAGAGCCGTGGTGCTGAGTGCTGGCGTGTCTCTCCAGCACGCGTGTCCCAGCGCAGAATGTGCAAATCCTGGGGCAGTGCCTGGTAAAGGCATGAGACATGGTGCCATGTGCAGGCAGCAGGCTTAGCTGTGGCTTTCCAAAGAGAAATCTGCCAGGAAACAGCTGTGTTCTGGTAGGCAGGGTGACGGTTTGCCTGCCAGGTAATACTTCTGGAACGGCCCTTGTAGCAGAAAGGAGGGATGCCAGGCAGGACTGTGGTCTCTTCCTTTCCTATCATAGAGTTAGCAGGAGGCTGTGATATTGTCCATGAAGATGAACTGGTGCCTGCTTGCCAGCTGCTGCACCTACCCTGGAAGGAAGAGATAAGATGTAGAAATTAATATAGCAGCACCTCAGAGTGGAGTTAGGACTTTAAAACCAGAAATAAGGGAGCTGGCCCCTCCATCCTCCTGTACAGCCTGTGTGCCCAGACTCTGAGGCTGTGGGGAGCAAGGTGTGCTTGGGGCTGGGGACAAGGAGAAGAGGTCACAGCTTTCCTTGCATATTAAATGGGAAAGTCCGCCCCATTCTCACTGGTAAACAATTACTTCTGGGGCCTTGCAGTCTGCATGGAGACCCTCATCTCCAGATGTGGCTGAGATATATTTTGTCCCCTTAATACTAACAGTCACCAGAACTGATTCAGGTTCCCAGCAGCAGCAGAGGGGAAGGGCTGTTACTCGTGGTGCAGTGCTCAAGGCTTTGCAGGCACAGGAGCTCCTGCCTCATCTGCGTGGCTGAGCTGCGGGGCTCTCAGCAGGGCTGGCATTGGCTTTTCTGAAAATGGGGCTGTTCTTTATTTTGTGGTGGCTGCATGCATCTTGCTAGATGAAGTCCAGTTGTGATCTCTTCTATTTGCTGCTGAAGCAGCCATGCGGGCTTTAGGGTACTGGCCAGGCAAAGCTTGCAGACTCAGCCTCCCTCTGTTTTGACTGTGGATATAGAAGTCTGTGGAGCCACGAGGCTTTTTCCGGATTTGATGTAGCATTGCAACTCTCACCTTGATGCAGACTGTGGAAAGTTGTCTGTGAGGGGCCCAGCTGGCAAGTCTCCAGGTCTCTGTCTGCAGCAGCATGAGGCTGGAGCAGGGTGGGCAGGGACCACCTGGGCTCAGGGCTCTGCTTTAGAGCTGGAGGGGATCTCTGTGCATGCCTCCTGCTGTCTTTGTTTCCCAGGGCTGGCCTCTGCTCTCCTTCCATCCATGCCCAGCTTTTGTAGAAGACCCTGCCAGAAATGCAGTGGTAGCTCCCGGCACTGCTGTATGGAGCCATTTTACCTGGTGGAGACTTGACTTACAATTTGTTTTGTTCTCTTCTCTCCTGTTCTACAGTACTATGAGATGTCCTATGGGCTGAATATTGAAATGCACAAACAGGTAGGGGAAAAAGCATTTCCAAGTGCTCTAATTCCTGGGGAAGGTGGTTGTCTGTTGCATGTTGCTCCCTGTCACTTCAGTGGTATTTCAGGAACTAGAAATGCCATGAGCCTGTAAAATGTCAGAGCTGCCTTTGAAATGCAGGGGCCCCCCACCTCTCAGGATCACAGTGCTGGACTGAGAGCTCTCACCCTGGGCTCTGGGCACCCTGTGGTTCTGCTCAGGGCCTGAACAGGTATTAAGGCATCAGACAGGGCAGTGCAGGCAGGATCTGGAGCTGTGGCTTGGAGACTGTGCGGCAGCTTGGATAAGTTTGCTCATTACCCTCACTGATGGTTAAGTTGTTAATTACCCTCAGTGAGTAATTACCTGTGGTATTAACAACATGAGCCTCCTCTGAGCCTGTCTCTCTCTGGCTCCAGCTCCAGTCACAAAGTTGGCTGCATGTCATGACTCAGTTATAAGCCTCTTAGCACAGTTCTGCTCCCCACAAAGGCACTTGGTGCTTCTGATCTCATTGCCCTTGTTGCTAAGCCCAGGAGACTGGCTTTCCTGGGAAAACCTGCATCTTGTTGAAGAATCTGAGCCACAAATCCTCACTGCTGTCCCGTGAGTGTCTCCCAGCCTAGTCTGCTTCCCTGTGGTGCTGGTGGGGTCCCCTCCGCTGTTTTTGGTGTGTGCCTAAACTCTTTGGCTCTGTATTTCTTTTGATGCCACTGGAAAATGATTTGCAAAGGACTGGTAGCTTCACTATTTGCCAGGAGGAAAGCATTTAATACCCCAGAACTTGCCATTGCTTGTGTGAGGGTAGTGAGGAAGCTGCCCAGCCCCTCTGGTCTCCCTGAGTAGCCCCAGTCCAGCAGCTCAGCTGCAGGGAGGAGGAGTCTGAGGAGGGATTTTGATGGAAGCAGCACATGTGTCTGTCTGTATCTACA